TCTTCCAATCAGTTGGCCAGGTGGTTGTCTTCCAAATTACTTGGCATTGATGAGTGAGTGCCTCCAGTGCCACCTCACTTTCTTGAAAGATTTCAGTGCTTATTCCATCAATTTCTGGTGCCTTGTTCTTTGTGAATTCCTTCAGTGCACCTTGGACTTCTTCCTTCAGTATCATTGGCTCTTGATCATATGCTACCTTTTGAAAAAGTTGAACATTAACCATTTCCTTTTGGGATCACCTCTCTTTGTTTAGATTGCTTTAGGTGTTATTGACATTTTCACAATGTGAAGTCTTCCTATCCAGGAGCATGGTATATCCTCCCATTTTTTTAAGTCTCTTGGTTTCTTGTAGTAGTGTTTTATAGTTTTCTCTATATAGGTCCTTTATGTGTCTGGTTACATTTATTCCTAAATATTTCATCCTTTGGGCGGATATTGTAAATGGTATTGCTTTCCTAATTTCCCTTTTAGTGCTGTCTTTATTAGTATAGAAGAATACAACCGATTTTTGTATGTTGATGTTGTACCCTGCCACTTTGCTGAATCTTCTAATGAATTCTAGTAGTTTTTTTTTGCTGAGTCTTTTGGGGTTTTCTATGTATAGGATCATATCATCGCAAATAAAGTTTTACTGCCTCTTTGCCAATTTGCATGCCTTTAATTTCCCTATCTTGCCATATAAGGAGCTCTGGTAGTGTAGTGGTTACGAATCGGGCTGCGAACCGCAAGGTCAGCAGTTCGAAACTACCAGCTATTCCGCAGAAGAAAGATGAGGCTTTCTGCTCCCATAAAGATTTACAGCCTCAGAAACCCTATGCAGGGTCGCTATGAGTCGGAACCAACTCCACGGCATACAGCCACCATAGGTAATCACCCACCACCACCATCTTGCCATATAGCTCTGGCTAAGACTTCCTACACAGTACTGAATAGGAGTAGTGTTAAAGGGCATCCATGTTTGGTTCCTGTTTGCAAAGGGAAGGCTTTCAGTTTCTCTCCATTGACAGTGATGTTGGCTGTTTTGTACATATGCTCTTAATTATGTTGAGGAATTTCCTGTCATTTCCTACATTGTTAAGTGTTTTAATCAGGAATGGATATTGGGTTTTGTCAAATGCCTTTTCTGCATCAATCGATATGATCATGTAGTTCTTTTCCTTTTTTTTTATATGTATGGTGGATTACATTGATTGCTTTTCTAATGTTGAAGCATCCTTGCATCCCTGATTTGAATCCGACTTGGTCATGATGGATTATTTTTTGATGTGTTGTTGAATTTTGTTGGCTAGTATTTTGATGAGAATTTTTCCATCTATGTTTATGAGGGATATTGGTCTACAGTTTTTTTTCTTAGTGATGTCCTTCCCTGGTTTTGGTATGAGGGTTATGCTGGCTTCATAAAATGTATTAGGACGTTTTCCATCCTTTTCTATATTTTGGAATAATTTGAGTAGAATTGGTGACAACTCTAACCTGAATGTTTAGTAACTCACCAGTGAAACCATCTGGACCTGGATTTTTTTTGGTTGAGGGTTTTTTGATGATATGATCAATTTCTTCTTTTGTTTTAGGTATGTTCAAATTTTGTACTTCACTCTGTGTATGTTTAGGTTAGGTCATGCTTTTCTAAAAATCTCCTCTAGATTTTCAAATTCGTCGGAGTACAACTTTTCATAATATTCTGTTACTATCCTTTTCATTTCTATTGGAATCAGCTTCTCTTTGGAATGGACACAAATATGGATGTTTTCCAATCAGTTGACCAGGAAGCTGTCTTCCTAATTTCTTGACATAGGTAAGTGAGCCTCCAGTGCTGCATTAGTATGTTGAAATATTTCAATTTTTATCCCATCAGTTCCTGGAGCCTTGTTATTTGCCATTGTCTTCAGTGCACATTGGACTTCTTTCAGTATCATTGACTCTTGATCATATTTTACCTCTTGAAATGGTTAAACATCGTAGCATTTGTTTTTGGTACACTGTGTATTCCTTGCATCTTTTAATGCTTTCTACATTGTTTAATATTTTGCCCATTGTTGTTGTTAAGTGCTGCTGAGTCACTTCCGACTTACAGCAACCCATTATAGTGTTTCCAAGGAGTGACTGATGAGTTTGAACTGCTGACCTTGTGGTTGAAACCAGCATTATTGTCTTGTGCTTATCCTACAGTGCCACATTCAAGTTGAGGCTTGAATTTTTTCTTCAGTTCTTTCAGCTTAAGAACTGCTGGGCGTGTTGTTCCCTTTTAGTTTTCTAACAAAATCCTAGTCACCTTTTAATGCCTAACTCATAAGTCACCTAGGTCACACCTTTTCCAACTCCCAATTACTTCCTACTACCCCTTGCTTGCTTTTATTTTGCTCCTCTGACTGTTCATAACATCTTTGGGACTTGATTCTGTCCATTTAGATTATTTTCTCAAATACGTATTGTGTTATCTCTGTATCCTTAAGGCTTACCATAACGTCTACCATGTTATATGTATACTCACTAAATGGTGAATTAAGGATAAAGAGGAAGAAGAAAAATGTACAGATAGGGGTGGTGGATAGACGAGGATTTAATCAGGTGGCTTTGTTCCTTCACATATTCTGCTTTTTTACCATTCTCATTGTGGTGCATATAGGATAAGCAGTGGGCTGCCAACCATAAGCTCAGTGGTTCAAACCCACTAGCCACTCTTGGAAACCCTCTACAGGGGCGCCATGAGTCAGGACTGACTCATCGGCACTTAACAACATTGTGCTCTGGTTGTAACAAGAGCACTACACAGGAAACTGTGATTTAATAAATTAATTTCTGAAGCACTTTCACAGAGTAAATGGTCAACAATGAGAAGCTTCTAGGTATCCTTCATCAACACTAAAAATTCACATACTCCATTAAACAGTTTTCTCTAGAAGAAGCGAAGGTGGCTAAAACTTGCTGATGGGAAGTCGGACCTGGATTCCTTTCATGTTGCCCTTATTCATTCATGAGAATTAATTCAATTACCAGCCACAAAAATAAACAGTTAAGGTCATCTTTAATGGCTTACTTCTCAGGCCTTAATATTAAGGGAGTCCAGTGTATGGAGAGAATTGATTTGTCACTGGTCCCAGGAGGTAACCTTGTCACAAAGCCACCTTGACACCAAGTCGCCCAGATCAGGCTGAGGGCGCATGCGCAGTAGAGTCAAGAGCAGAGGACGCTGACGCCTGCGTAGAAAGGAGTGGTCGTCCCTCCCCGCCCCGTCTCTGTCAAGCCGCGCCAGCGCAGTTAAGAGCAAGTAGAAGAGGACGCGTGCGCAATAGTGACCAAGAAGGCTGTGGCGGTAGCGGCAATGGAACCATCGGAACAGCTGAACGAATTAGTGTCATCAGAGGGCCGAAACCGGAAGGCGGTGCTGTGCCAACGTTGTGGTTCCCGGGTTCTGCAGCCAGGGACTGCTCTCTTCTCCCGCCGACAGGTAGGGAGGCAGAAAAGAGTCATTTAACAACCCTGCACGCTCTTTTCCTGAGGGGCCTGAGGAGGGCAGAGTCTGTCCGGCTTCCTGAATTTCCGGAGACCGCACCCATCCTCGCTTTGCCTTTTAGCCACGCCCCTAGAGTCTCCGCCTACCCATGTCCTGCCCAGGCTCCCTGCGGCGAGACTCCGCCTCTGGGGCTCCCTACGGCGGGTAATGCTGGAAGTGGCCCTGGGGCAGGTATAGGCTCCTAAACTACCTGAGTCTTTTGTTGCTAATGCCTATTTCCTGTCCCAGACTGTGTGCCGCCCCCGGGGACCAGCTAGTCCAGCGGGCTGTGTCCAGCACCGGCTCCGTTGAACTCCAGTGGGGCGGGCGGTTCCTGCTGCACTTCTCTAGGACTCAGTTTCAACACATACTAGTGGAAGGAATGCGCCCTGAGCTTGTGGGTTACCTGGAGCCTTAGCGAACCTTTGAGACCTGGCCAGTTTATCTTTCAACTCTATTCTTTGGTAGTTGCCAAATTGGCGCTGGAGTGTAACTTGATTTGTGCCCTACATCAAACCCCCACCCACCAATCCTTAATCCACCGTCTCATTTCTCTCAGGCGGGATCTGCTCCACAAAGGAGTTTCAGTAATAACAAATTAGATAAAAATAACTTGTAACCCTAAGTACTTTACTAAGGCACTGAAATCCAAAGGTTCCCAGGTAAATGTTTCACATGGGATAGAAATCTGAAGTCCCGGAAATATATTTTGAAGAAGACTTTAAATGTTTTTTTCTTTAAGCCTGGATTTTTAATTCCTAGCGTAGTGGTTACGAATCGGTCTGCGAACCTTAAGGTCAGCGGTTCGAAACTACCAGTCACTCCGCGGGAGAAAGATGAGGCTTTCTACTCCCGTAAAGATTTACACCCTCGGAAACCCTGTACAGGGTCGCTATGGGTCGGACCCGACTCAATG